GATAGTCAAGTTGATACAAATAAGATGAACTGTTTTTATGATTTTAGACTAGTAGTTTATTCTTCCATTCACTTATTACAATATTTCATTTTTATATGCTCGGCTATCCAAAATTTCAAGAGCTTTCCGGATATTTCTTTTGTTGAGTTTTACTATACATACATTTCAGCATTTACATCGTCAAAATTGCACAGACACATACTTGAAGTGAATTTGCTTTTACAGCTAACACAGGAACTGGAAAACAAAAAAGTATTTATTTGGAGATTGTATTTCTTTTTTGTTCATGAAAATCAAAGTTCATTACACAAACATGCATTCACACTGCACAAGCATGTATGGAAATTCTTAATACATTAGTAATCCTGATCATTGATAATTGATACGCATTTAGTAAATAAATCAGAAAATATTTTAATGTATAACAATGAATAGTAAAGCTAAGCTAAGCTTTATTTTTATAAAACAGAGCATAATAACACAGTTACAAAGATATTTAATATTATAAAGTTAGGTAATTTAGTAAATTTCAGTTGTTCAACAAAGCAATGAATTATGAAGTTCCTTGTATCTTTATAAATGAACTTGCTGTTTTAAGCAATTAAACAACTGTTCAAGTTATTTTTATAATTTTGAAATATATACACGAAAAGAAACAAAATGTATTAATCTATTTGTCAAACTTGACTTTGGCACGAAAGTCTGCAGAATGCTTAGTAGTTTTTAAGGACATAGAGACACTGCAATTCTTATTCCTTGATCTGAAGTTTTCTGCAATTTTTTTTTTTTTTTATTTTAAATTGCTATATTGGCACACATACAATTTTTGTATAGTGGCTTCAGATGTGGATAAGGTTTTTCGAACACTTTCATTTATTTTACTGGCGTCGCTGAATTTTTGCGATGAAATGCAACACATTTATTACCGAGTTCACCTCAGAATTAACTGTTAGACATAATGATTTCCCTTTTCTCATTACCACGGCAAAAAAACATTTACTAAATTTGTATATCTAATATTAAATGCGAAAATCGAATGCACATTTTTCAAAGGCGGATAGTAAGGCTCCTAAAAGGCTGAATCACCAACTTTTCTCTCTTGGCGAGGGAGTGAACGCGCTGCCAATTTTGGCGCGTTTATCGCACACGCTGGCTGAATGTCTGCTGTTTTTTTAAAGATTTATTTTATAGACGCGCGGCATTCAGCGCATATAAACTTTTCGGATAATTTATTAATTCTCGAATAGTATATAGACGTTTTCACTTAAATAAAAATTTCGCGTATATTTTGTAAACATATTCAAAATAACTTATTCTTTAGATGTTTCAGTTTCGTTAGCAGACTAAAATAAATAAGATATGAATAAAAACTTTCAATAGTGTCAAATGGGGAAATAGTTAAAGCGTAGAGTGTGCAAATAAATTTATCTTAATGACATTTTAACAAAAATTTCCATAAAAACACTGTAAATTCATACTAAAAAAATAACTTAAGAATATGTTGTCATTTAAGTCTGAGGTATATGGAAATAATTGTGCAAGATTCTGAAGAAACACTTTCTTTTAAATGTGTGAAATATTTCATAACATATATGGAAGAAGAAAGTACAGCATTCTGTGTTTTGGATGCTTTTCATCAAATGTAATATAAATACGAACTAGAAACCGTAATAAAAAGTCCTTCCTCTTCAATCAGATCACCTTTGTGTTGCATTGTATTTGTAATACTTCTAAAAATCCAGTTTTTACCTAAATTAAAAAAACAGTTATTCCATAAAAGATAATAACTTTGAACGTATATAGAATGAATTTTGTAATTTGAGTTATGTTACAAAATAATTCATAGTTTATATATTTTATACTAATAATTTAGATAAAACCTGTCCAATTTAAGAATGTGTGTTAACCACATTCTTAAATTGTAAAAGGACGACTTAACCACATGTAATTCATTTCAAAGCATAAAAGAAAGCTTATTTTTTATTTTACACAGCAACAGCATTTTCATGCAGTCAAGTTTTTTTAACTGCTAGTTATTATACATAATACTTAATTTTAAACCCATTCTTATTAGAAAGCATAACTAAGAAACTTCTTTTTAAAGCACCACAGTGATTGCAAAGAATGTCGTTAAATTTACAAAAGTATTGAAGATATATTGAACAGCATTATAACAAGAAAGTACTGTACAAAATATGTAAATTTAGCATAACTTCTTTTTTAGTATTTGCATAGTTTCCTCCAAATGAACCTTAATGGGAAGTTATCTTGCGAAAATTTAAAAGTATTAAAATGGCCTCTATTTAAGATGTAACTGCATTTATATTATTTTGTAATTGCGAATAGATTATATTATTGCAATTAGATTATGCACTTACAACATAATTGCATAAAGTAATGAAATTAAGAGTTCACAGATACAATGTAATATAATTACAATGCAATTACCTAAATTGTAATTATAATCACTTATTTAATACCACAATATTATTACAATCACAATGTAATTTAAATTGGGTACTATATTTGCATACCCTCCACTCAAAAGGAGGTACTGATAAGCCTGGAAGTTATTATCAACAAAAAGCCTGTTCAGGACAGTTTGATGACAATTTCCACCGGGCGAAAAGTACATTCTTAAGCCCAGGCAAATCATGACAATAAAAATCATTTAGTCTTATGATTCACTATATTTTAAACCCTAAATTTGAATTCTGCACCAAATTATTTACCTATATTTTAACATACTTTATGAATTATTAGAAGCGATATGGCAAATATCTTCTAAAAATAACTGTAAAATATTTGTATCCATTAATTGATTCAGATACACACTTTTATTATTTAAGTATATCAAAATAACAGTTTCATGTTCCTGAAATACAAAAATTATGGAAAAAGTTAAAGTAATATTCTTAGAAGCATATGATATTAGTCACCAGATGCAAAATTATAGTTAATTTTTTGCCCTAAATACAATTTTATTACACAGTAGTCAAATGTGTAACTTAATAACATGTTATATAAAAAATTAATGATAATAAGTTTATCAGAAATGAATTAATTCTGCAAATAAACTTTCTGCACTTGAAAATTTTCTACACCTGAGGGGAGGGAGAGATCTAGTAAAATTAGATTTATTATAACTTCAGTTGGACCAAACACCTTCTCTCTATATATATGCATCACTAAAGAAATAAATAAAATTATCATGCTTAAAAAACAGATATACCATACCAGTTTTTTTTCCCCTTGTTACACTTTACATTGAGAAATAACAAACCGTACAACACTGAAAAATACTATCCTTGAAATTTTGTTTAAATGAAGAAACACACACATCATCTTTTTATTTAAGCATTACACTTCAAAAACAGATACACATACCAATTTATTTTCACTAGCCTTTATACTGATAACATGCCATATAAAAATGAAAAGAATTATCCTTGAAATTTAGATAAAATGAAGTAACACAATGGGAAAATTTATGCACACGGACATCTTTTTTCTATTGCATGTTGTCTGACATGATCCACAAGTGCCTAAAAATGTACCCAAAGAAACGCATTTCAATATTAACAAAAAATTGTTTACAGATTAAAATTCATTCATTTCATACCAGTATTATAAAGATCATGCATGAAACAAATCTGCTTTCCCATACTTTTAAGTAAAACTTTTATACTGGAAAATAGACTATATTTCTATATATTAGAAACAAGAAAATACTAATTTGAATGTTCTGCATTCATTTCTAAATCTTTACTCCATTGCCAAATTGTATAATACTGTGATTATAAATAAACTTGCACAATCCTTGCAATTATTGAAGTCAGATTATATATATTTTGTCTCACACTATTCAATTTATTCTATTGACTTCAGATGTCAATGTCAAAATTCTGGAAGTTATTTTAACCAAGAAACAGTAGTGGGCACCGTGCATAAACAACTCATCTAACTTTTTAACAATAGTGATTATAAAATAAAGAAAAAATTATATATCATTCCAACGATATTGCAACTATAGTATAATGTTACATATATCTTTAGCAAACATTCAGATTTTATCTTGACTTTCCAAATTATTATTTATTTTTTAATAAATTTCAATATGCTAATGATTTTCATGTTACATTAGTATAAATTCCACAATTAGCACAGGAAAACAAAATCCGCGCTTTATATTAGAAGAGAAATTTCTTTTCCACATTCAAAACATCTACATTGGCGATGTTTGGCGACGGGTACATTAACCCTAGACTAATTTAATTATAGCTATTATTACAGAAATTAGCAGATACTCAGGTTATTGTACACAAGAATTTCACTTTACTTGCACATTATAAACATCAGAGAAGATATAAACTCTAAATGAAGGCGTAATTAACATTATACTTACTAAGCAAAGTTCAGCGCCTGGACCAGGTTTCCAATTGTCTCTTCGGCAATTATTTACCCATATTTTTCTTCTTTCTTCATTTTTAGGAAATTTTACCAATGTATGACCTTTCCGTGAATGATTTGAACAATTAATAGCTGTACATCCGCCCATTTTACACAAAAAAACACAAAAAATTGTTGCACCGTAACTACACAGCCGCCATTAAATCTCCCACTTGGGAGCGCGAATGCCTGATGATTCAGCCTGGTATATAGGAGCCTTAGTCAAAGGGGTAGGCGTCTCCAAAACTAGTCTATTTCCTGACGTCTTTGAAAAGTGGGGTAGGGTTTGGAAGTACGCGAACGGGCTGCCTACATGGGCGTTTCCTGGTTTTACCCATGTGTAACGTGTATACGAGCCAGTTTCCCTTAGAAAGTCTTTCAGGAAGGTATCCCTCCCTTTAGGCAAATAGCCCTCGCATGCTTTGCCATAATTAAATAATCCAATCCAATGCAATCTTTTATTATATGTAGAGATTTCCAGCCAAAGTCCTCAGAGTACAACGCCAATTAGAGGTCAAAACTCCTAGTGGTTGATGCCTCAAGAACCATCAGCGATGTAGAAATGTGCCTGAGCTACGCCTTGACCCACTGTAGAAACTTGCTCTGTTTCCCATCAGTTGACAGTTTAATATTTCTCGAGAATGAGTAAATTATTTTCCATATTTTCTTTCCACGCAACTCATCCGTTTCAGCGAAAGATTAGTATTCTTCGGGCAAAAAGACTAAGCCGAATTTTATTTGTCAATTTTATGGTTCGTTGTTCGGAGTGCTAAAACAAGAATGATGACAAACAGCCGTTATTCAATGTTTGTTTAAAGAAATTCTTATGAAGTATTGTTGTAGAAAAGTCAGAATTTCGGCGATAAATTTTATTTCTGCTATGGAAGTGCGTTATTATGTGCTAATAATTGCGGTGATGACCCGCTTTTGTGTACATTTGCATTAAATTATTTAAATTTCTAGAATCCTGCTTAGATAACGAGTATTACAGATTTAACCGATCATAAATGGAAAATTTGATAACAGTTTTTCATTAAATGTATTATTCTGTGTAAATGAGTAAATTAGCATATTTCATTCCACCTGGAAGAAATGAAAAAAGATGTAAAGTAATAAGTAAAACGTTTCTAAGTTTATTACCCGGGGTATAATTGATATTTTAGTTCCAAATATCTAAGTATTATTTTTAACAGAAATTTATAAATAGTGGGATACGTAAAGTATCCTGAATAGTGACAATTCAACTTTTACATTGCAGAAATATTAAATGTAATGTGTTTTATTTATGCATCAATTATTTTTAAAAGAAAATTATGTACATGTGCTAAAGCATCAATAATCTATATTAGTCTCTTTTACTATCAAATTTTACATTATCAGTTAAATTCGTAAATCTGATGATTTTCAAGTAAGCTATGAAATTTATGTGCGTCAATAGTTATTTTTCTAAAAGAATTTATATATGATGCTGTTAGTAACCATAATAGAAGAAGTGGTTATGTAGCATGTGCTTGAGATAGTTTCATCAAAGCTGAACTGGAAATAGATTTCAGTGCATATAAATGAAACTTATACATTTAGCAACAGTTTCTTATATATAGCATTCAGTTATATATACAGGTACATATGTAAAAAAATATATAAACTTTTGTCTCCACACTGATTGGAAAACTGCCTGAGAAGTATGTGGTGTATGTAAATTTGCTTACAAAAAAATTGACCTTTGTATTTTAGCACATAGCATTATACTTTTGGATTACAAGTTACAATCATGCATACCAACATGAGTACAAAACCATATAGATGTCATGTATGTAGAAAGTCATTTGTACATGCAAATGCATTTAAAAAACATGTTGCTATCCATACTTGTGAGAGATCACAAAAATGTGATGTATGTTACAAAACTTTTGCACTCAGAAATGACTTAATCTCGCATACGCGATGCATCCACATGCCAGAAAAACCTTATGTATGTAATGTATGTAGCAAATCATTTGCACGCAAAGCTAATTTAAATGTACACGTGCTTTATCACACTGCTGAGAAACCACATAAGTGTCATATATGTAGCAAGTCATTTGTAAGTGTAAGTGCATTAAAGAGACATGCACTTGTCCACACTGGTGAGAGATCATATGAATGTGATATATGTAGTAAGACATTTGTACTCAAAAATGATTTAATCTCGCATTTGCGTATTCACACTGGTGAAAAACCACATGTATGTAATGTATGTTGCAAGACGTTTGCTCGCAAAAGTAATTTAAATGTACACATGCTTTCCCACACTGGTGAGAAGTCGCATGAATGTTTTATGTGTAGTAAGACATTTGGACAGAAAAGTCACTTGAATATGCATATGCGCATTCATACGGGTGAGAAACCACATGAGTGTGATGTGTGTAGCAAATCATTTACATGTAAAAGTCATTTAAAATTACATATGCTTACTCACACTGGTGAGAAATCACATAAGTGTGTTATATGCAACAAGTCTTTTTCACAATTGAGTAGTTTGACTAGGCATGTATTTACACACACGTGTGTGAAACCACATCTCTGTGATGTATGTAATAAATCATTTGCATGCAAAAGTCATATGAAGGAACATATGCTTATCCATATTGATGAGAAACCACATACGTGTATTACATGTGGGAAATCATTTGCTTGGAAATGTGCCTTAAAGAGACATATGCTTATGCACATTGGTGAAAAACCACATTAATGTGTTGCATATTATGAATATTGTTAAATTAAGCAAATAGGCCAATAACTACAGATTGGGGACCCAGGGCAACAGATCATAATGGGGCCTCCTTCTTTATTGTGTCTCCTAACCTCGGTCCTTTATTATTATTATTATTGTTTTTTTTTTAAGTTATGGTTGATTGTTTTCTTGAAAATTAAAGTAGCTTTACACACTTTAATTGAGTGAAAATATTTTCGATAAATGTCTCGGGTGTGTGCTATTATATATTATTTTTGACTAGTGTTTAATACTGTTAAATCAGAAAGAATATTATGTCCAAAGCCGTTTGATGCCACACAGAATGTAATTAGAAACTTATGCAATATAATGATATTTACTATCAAAATATGTGCTATACTGTATTTTTTTTTGTCCCAACTGGTGATCTACCGAATTTCACTAGTTGATCTGTTTTATACCTGATGGTGCCACCTCTTTTTCACACCATGTTGTTTTTAAAAGCAGTATTTATGCTTATCGTTTCTTTCACATGCAATTTTTCTGTTGAATTTATGAAGAGTTTTTAAAATGTTGTCTTCGAATCTTTGTTATCAATTTACTCTCAAATAGAAATTTATTTTTTTCACGTTTACATTACAAAGAGTTGAGGAAGCGCTTCCGCAGAGAACCCGGTAAATGTAAACATCGCCAACTTTGGCAATAATAGTTCAAACCTGGTAACCCAGCGGATTTATCCTATTCGCTTGTTCGAAGTTTGCAACCATTCCCCTTGGGTTCATTTTGTTTAATTATCACTGTCGTTGTTCGCATTTGCAGATTTATATTATTCTTTGGAACTACTCTGATATGCGCCCTCAAGTCGGCAAATTTCGCGCCAAATAATTTTGGCGAGAAACTTCACGCTGCCATATTACTATCTAAATTTTTTGTCTACATTTCGAAGTTTTAGCCTAAAATGTCTCCAAAAACGCGGTTTTCGCACATGCAAAAACTACGTTTTCAACATACAATTTAGCTAAAAATCCGAAAGAAAAACAAAAAATTTAGATAGCAAAAACGTAAAGTTTCTAACCAAAAATATTTGACAAGAATCCATGTACACGGCGACATGTTTTGGTTGATCTTTACATTATGGTAACTTGGCGATTTTTGGCGAAAATTAGGCGACCACACTCCTACAGCAGCCCTCTATTTTTTTTTCCCGCCGCCATTTTGTCTTCACGAAGTAAAGACATGTTTCTTTTCTTTTTATCTACTGAACACTTCTTCCAACAATCTACTAGCCGAATTACACTTATGCTAGAAATTTTATCTAACAAAACTGCTTAATCATGACAAATATTCACTGCAAAATTGCGAAAAAGTGCACAATACCATACTCCTTACGCGTTTTTCAAAATAACACATACACATAAACCATGTACACGTCGATTTATTTTTACTTAAAAAACATCCCAGAATTACACAAAAATGGCATTGCGCACACTCTTCACTATATCCATGTACACTGCTTTTTTCTCATAAATTAGAAAAATTTTACGAAAATGCATGACAATTTTCTGAATCTTTAAACCCGTTAAAAAGAACATATATGAAATTACCTAATAACGAAAAAGTATATACCCTTTCCAAATATGAACATTTCCACGTATAAAATAAATAAAATATCCAAAAACTTTTACCTCTAAATTATCTATTATATTATAAACGTCACCAATGAATTCATACCGCAAACATTACAAATACTTAGTGTCAAATATTTAAATTATTTCCATGTACGTTTACTTCAACTAAAACGTATACCAAATTCCTACAAACATAAAATTCACAAAATAACTATCATTTAATTAAAATATAATTAAATTCAAAAACACTACTTAAAATATAAATAAGCACATACATTAAATTAATAAAAATTAGCTTACAATCCTAATTACTTTAAACAAAATCATTGCTAATAACAATTTTCCCAATAATACCAAATTACTTTACTTCCACCTTACATTTAGAACAATGCATAAAAATAATATCCTCAAATAATTAAAAATACTAACTTACCTAATCTTCTTCAGAATCTGCTTACATTACATCCACTTTTATTATGGATTCAATAAAATTTATTGAACGATTTTTTCTGCGAATTTTTCCTCCACACTTCCTCCGCTAAATAAAAAGCAAAATTCTCTTTATCACATCTAGAATTCACTTTAGACAGCGCCATACAATCCCAAAATTATTCAACCCTACTTCACACAACACACAATGAAGCTTAATACAAAATAATATACAGCTACAGATATTTTTCCACATTCCCCCCCTTTTCCGATTAAAGAACCGTAATTCGTCCATTAATATCACATGACATATCCGATGATCTCTCATTTCCCTCACACAAAATAATGCGTAATCGGAACTGAGTACTGCTCACATTATTACCAAAGTCCCAGGTAGTAACCTTTATCGCCTCCAAAATGTCGCCAAACTACCAGTTACCATATTCTAAAGATCAGCCCATGTTTTAACTTAAAAAAAACATCTACGAATGGCACAATGTAGGCAACGAACGAATCTACAAACTACGCACACCTCGCTTTAATAAATTAACATAACAGCAATAAATTTCAAAGAATACCATGTACACAGCATCCTGTTTAAACTTAAAAAAAAATTCTACGAATTGCACAATTTAGGCAAGGAAGGAATCTACAATCTACGCACTCCTCGCTTCAATAAAATAACATAACAACAATAAATTTCAAATAATACCATGTACACAGCATTCTGTTTCAACTTTAAAAAACATCTACGAATTGCACAGTCTAGACACTAAACAACAACATAAATTTCAAACAATTTAAAAAAACAACAATTACGACAGAAATTCATACTAAAGAACCAATGAACATAACATTCTACAAAATAAGAAGAAGGATAAAATAAAATGCACTTACCATGAATTAATGCGTTTTCGAATAGCAGAAATATAAATTTCATACCGCCTTTAACATGCCGCCACGTAATCACTATCGTATTTACATGACAGCCAGACACACTATCCAGAAAATTTATACTATGGTTCACAAATAAATAAAATCACAAATTCCTACTTCTATCATGCATTGCCATTAAAAATAATCTCCCAGACCCTCTTTCCACACTTCCAAATACCCACTACCCCTCAACAGGATAGCCACAATGATATTTCCTTTTGCCGAACTTCAATTCAACAACTACCATTTTATCTTTCCCTCCCATCTTCTCAAACACAGAGGCGAATCAACGAGCTCCAGCGAAAGATTTTTCAACGTCAACAGGGTTGCCATAGAACACGCAATCGTGCCAAAAACCAGCACAGAACACATATCGCCACATTTGGCGAAATTAGGACGTATATTAGAGTTGTACCTATTCTTCTCTTATTTATTATTATTTTTTTTTTGAATTTTTTAACAACGAATAGATAGAAATATTTTTGTAGATAGATGCCGGTTCTCGGTTTGGGATGAAAGGAAGAAAATATGGGGGGGGGGGTGAATGCTAATTTGTAACACGGCTGTTCATGTTGTGTTCTTAATTACTAACAGCTCTAAGAACCAGCAATTTAAATAATTAAGTAATGCTTTTATTTTTATTATTGGTTATTGTCATCTAAAATTATGAGAATAAATCAATTTTTATGGCGTAAAATTTTAACAAGATAATATATCGTTAATGCTTTTCTAACAATAACCTTTCAGAGGATGGCAGGTGTGACATAAATAGATGATTAAATTGAAATAAAAAATATTATTGATTACCTAAGATGACAGTATAGTTTGATGCATCACCATGGTCATCAAAATTAGCAAACCACTGCTGGTGTAAGGAATATATTGTTTTCTGTGTTAACTGTAATTTAAGACAAAATTTTTTCGTTTGTCACGTTTAACCAGTTAATTTCAGTACATTAATATTAATTTATATTTTTTAATGAATTTTTATTTCCGTTATAAATGCTTATATATTGTCTTATACTTACTATATTCTTTTCTGTGCTAACTTGAATTTAATACAAATTTATTTTCGTATATCACGTTTAACCAGTTAGTTTTACATCTTCATGCTTATTCTCTGTGAATTTTTACTATCCTCAGTTATAAGGCCATATGCTTAATATATTGTTTTGTCTGCTAACTTGAATTTACATGCACTAAAAATCACGTTTACAAAATATCACGTTTTTGGCTCGGCTCATCGTCGATGAACCGCAAGCTTGGCGAGTAAAAATGCAACGGCGCCAACGGGTTCTCTGCGGATGAAAACCCAGAGTTGAAATAAGAAGCAAATGAAATAACTGTTAAGACTCAATAGTGTTTAATTTATTTTTCTTAAATTGATTATCTATTTTTTAATACTTTGCTTACAACAAATTGTGTGTAAATAGGTTTTGAAACAATTAAATATAGCAGTACAAAATTGGATGTATTTTGTCTCACCTTTTTTCTGTTTCATTTACTATATGTGCAAAATTCTTGATATAATCTATACCCATAACATTTAGCTGCTCACTTTTGGCTATATTAATATCGAGTAATTCATTGAAATTTTTAAAGCAGCTAGTCAAATTTTTTTAAAATTATTTTCCTTTTTTTATTTGTACACTGAAAGTTTTCTTATATGCAACATATATGTATATTGAGACAGTGTTCAGGAATATTAAAACTTCAAAATGTATAACTGAGAACAGGAGAAAATCAAATGTTTACAGTTTTTGTTTGGTTGTATCATTCATTACTTTCCTTAATTTTCTGGCCAGTCAGAAATATGTGTATTGAGACATTTCATTGCATTACCAAACCTGTGCTTTAAGGCAGAGAGTTGGCTTTAGAACATTTAATGTCAGGTTTAGAACATTTAATGTCATTTTCAGGTTACACCCTTCACTCTGGTAATTTGCTTTTAATTCTTCTTAGTGAAGAATGGTATGACTGAAATAGTAGTATACATTTCGGTCTGTTCCAAGAGACTTATGAAGTTTTATGTTTCCTTCAATAACATCTTTTAAAACTAAATTATGAGTGGCACAATGTACACAGTAAGCATATGGAGCTCCTTTTATTGCACATGATTGTATTGTTGTGTGCTATGGGTTTGTGGATTTGAAGCAATTGATGACAGCACTTGATGAATAATCAAAACACAATTTATTAGCCAGTATTACTCAGCACAGTTAAAAAATGCATTTACAGTGAGTGAAAAACAATGAGCAATGCAATCTTCAGGCTACAATGGTGAGGACGGCTTCACGGCAAAGCACTAAAGTAAATATTTAATATACAGCCAAATAAATAAATATTTTACAAAACATAAAAAATTATTTATATTAAATAATAAATCTGATCGTGCAAATTTGAATAAAATGGCAAGAAGGGAAAAAATGTGTAAAAACAATTTTAGTGGCGCCACGTGTCGATCAGTAAAATAACTACACAGTTAAGTAAGGTACATCACCTATTAGGAGTAATAAGAAAGGTAGATCACCTATTTATTATTACCTCTTTATTTTTATACTTGGATTACACAATTCTCTATTTCCTGACTCAAAACATTATATATTTTATCAAGTTTATTTTTTTGGGCTCGATTAAGTAGCAAACTGTTTTTGTCTCTCACTGCTTCACAAATAGTTTTTTACTAATTTCAGTTTTTTAAATGATCATTCAGCTTTAGCTACAGTTGCAGCAATCGGTTAAGTACATACATACAGTAAGACCCCGC